GAGGACTACCGATCACGTGAGTAGTTTCCTCTATGGTAGTGCTAGCCCTGTAACTCATCTCTTGGTTTCCTTCTCTGGCCTTCCCTATGTGATGGGAAATTCTCTTCGAATAGAACCTAGAGTCGATTCTGGGAGTATTAGCATGCTGGCTTTCTCTCGTAGGGCGAAGCAGTCCGAGCGTCCGTGGATCAATCTATAGCAACGGAGGGGCCTGCTTGGGCCCTTATGGTCAATGTCTCTAGCAATACGGCTTTTATTGAGGAGGATGCTACTGTTGGGGATAGGGAGGTTGATGAGGAGAAATGGCGTGATGAGGTGGACAGGCTCACAGATGCTCTGAAGGAGTCTCGGGGAAGGTTGGCAGCTGCTTGGGAGGAAGGCGAGAGGCTTGCGGGGCTACTAGAAGAGGGTAAAGAGAGGGCCGAGGTGTTCATGAGGCAGAGGGATGGGGAGAGGAAGGGGATGCGGATGATGATAGACGATCTGGAGGAGGAGTTGGAGCGGTATAAGACCTGTCTGGCGGAGCGGGAGGCGACGGAGGTAGAGGCTATCACGGAGGCTATACTGAAGGATGCTACGGAGAGTGCGATCACTATGGCGGTGGCGAGGGAAATGGGGAAGTCTAGTGAGGGTCTGAGGATGGGCCTGGAGGAGATGCGGGGTAAACTATGTGTGGAGTGGGGGGCCAGGGGGTGCCTCGAGGTAGGTGATGGGTTGTTGGAGGTCATCATCGTTAATGCTAGGAGACCAACAGAAGGCTGGAGATGATGTTGAGGGAGGCCCAGGGGGAAGGGATGGAGGTAGAAGATGGGGATAGAGGTCGTATCTCGTTCAGGAGTGCTTTAGATACGACACCAGTGTGCTGAGCTGAAGGCGGCAGTAGAGCGTTCAGAGCGGGAACGGGAGAGTGTTTCGATGGTAGGGCTGAGGGGAGGGTTATGTTGTGGAGGTTCCTTCCAGATGAAGGAGGAGGAGACGGAGGCTATGAATCGACTGGACGAGGCAGTGAGGAAGCTGGAGGGGGAGCGGGAGGAGGTGCGGGGGAGATGGGAGGAAATGGAGGGCAGTCTTCGAAGGGAGCTGGAGGTGAGGGGCGAGGGCATCTGGGGGAGGGCGATGGGGTCGACCTCAGAATTTGGGGGAAGAGATGATGCAGTGGAAGGAGCGAGCGGGGGAGGCAGAGGAGAGGCTGCTG